TATATATACTCTCACTTTCCAGTTTTACTTCTTATTTCCTCCAAGTTCGATTTATCCAATCCAAGCATCTGCCTGTTTGCTACGTGGAAGTTAAACACTGGACTATTGTTTGTAGCAAACTGTTATCTAATGGATTTCAAAGATGGTGTTTATTTTTAGACGTCGTTTTTACAAACATCTTTAATGCTGCATAGGCTCCATGCTCGGAGAATTTTCCTTTATAAACACATCAACGTCTAGTTAGACTTACAATGTAAACGCTTGTTCACTTTTCTTCGCTGACAGCTAACAAACAGTGTTTAGAAACCTGTTCATTGTCCAAAAAGATTTTGTTTATCTTACTGTTTTTACATGTTAATGCAACGTCAACAGATAAAGAGAGTTAGGTAATCATTAGTGAGTGTTTTATATCCATTATCCTCTGAATTTAATCAAAAATGTAGTACACAATAAGCTTCAAGTTAATTTGTGTTAAATAAAAATTTTGTTGAACATCAAAACCTATATCTCAATAAGAAATGCCACCCCAGTGGCTCAGCGGTAAGTCTGAAGGCTTATAACGTTAAAAACAAAGTTTCGATTCCTGTGGTGGGCACAACACATATAGCACGTTGTGTAGCTTTGTGATTAAAAACAAACAAACAAATAAGAAGTTAAAACAAATTACAACATGACAGAAAAACCTTGTTTTACAGATTTATGGTTATATATATTTTTAATTTGTTCTTAATCCTATCTCATGATGGGTTGCTAAAATAACCAATTTAAATACTTTTCTTGTGAAGAGCCAATATGAAAGGTACATAAGCTCCAATTTACAAATATGTTTAAAACATTGTTGATCTTTTTCGTCCCATGGTGGAACAGCGGTAAGTTTACAGACTTACTACGTTACAATCCGGAGTTCGATTCCCCGTGATGGACACAGCAGATAGACCAATGTGTATTTACTCTAAAACAAACAAAAAATAATTGTTCTTTTCCAGATATGTCTTTGACATCAGTAACAGCTTGGCATCCTTATAGCATTGTGTCTATGTATTTTCTCAAAGTATCTATAGTAATTTGATTTCATTTTCCATGGATCTGTATCTAGTGGCTTTCTCCAGTACGGTTGGTACTTTGACAATGCAGAATCCAGAGTTGTTCTATGAAGTTACGATATGGACATTATGGCGACCATTCCATTTTCTGGAGCTCTCCTGAGTTTTCTTTCATTGACAAATAAGCTCGAAATTTCTTAGAGGTGTGTTCGGAGTAATTTTATTCTAGAAGTATGGAAATTTGCCCAATCAGCTTTTTTCCAGAGGGTATAGCATAATGGACTAATATATTATGGTATTTATACTGATACACGATTCCATAAATTGTGTGGAGATGTTGGTACAAGGCATTTCTTCTGCAATCTCTCATTAATTCTTCAGCAAACACGCCGGTTGGAACCAAACAGTTCAAATTTAGAATTGTCTGTCCAAAGCACCTTGTGTCGTTATTCCAATTTAGAATTGTCTGTCCAGAGCCCCTCGTGTCATTCTTTCAATTTAGAATTGTCTGTCCAAAGCACCTTGTGTGATTCTTTCAATTTAGAATTGTCTGTCCAAAGCACCTTGTGTAATTCTTTCAATTTAGAATTGTCTGTCCAAAGCACCTTGTGTAATTCTTTCAATTTAGAATTGTCTGTCCAAAGCACCTTGTGTGATTCTTTCAATTTAGAATTGTCTGTCCAAAGCACCTTGTGTAATTCTTTCAATTTAGAATTGTCTGTTCAAAGCATCTTGTGTCATTATGCCAAAGACAAGAATACAAATTCTTTCACTAAAGCTAGAATTTTTGCCATATTCGCTTTCTTCCTGCTACTCCTCCCCAAAAACAACATTTCTGCACCATTTCTGAGAATTTACTTGTTAAAACTTTATTTTTGTATTACTTGTTAATGTCATCAGCAAATTTTCTCCCCTTCTAGTTTTTTTTTTTTTTTTTTGCAATGAAGTAACTTTAGATATCTAACATCTCTTTTCGGGAGTTTTTTTTCTACGTCTCCTGCCTTGTCTGTTGTTATAGAACTGGGTTACCTTATATTTTTTCAATGTGTTAATTTTCTCTGTTTTGGCATTTAAATGGTAACAACGCACTGTATTAGCTGTAATGGGCGAGAAAAAAATACCATCACTTATATATCTTCATGTATCTGAATAAATCTCAGAATGTGAAAATCTTAAATTTCTATCAGAAAT